TAAAAAAAAAAGTGTTTAAATAATATATGATGAAAATCATCGAATGTATGAGTTTCATTCAATGTACATATAAAATGATAGAATGTCATCATTTACCGTGAGCCTCCATGTAAGCTTCCACATTGCCATGAATTCCCATGTGGTCTTCCATGTGACTTGAGTTGCACTTGATTATGAGATCTCATGTAACTTAGTGTAAGTTGCTCTCCCCTTTACTCACATCATAAATTCCTATTATTTATCTATCATTGTACAAAAAAATTCATGTATACATTTTCTGGTTAAAAACTTGATATACCTTTGTCAATTTCATTATAGCTAAATTGATATAATAAATCTTTATCAATTGGCTCTCATGTAATAACTTAAAACTTAACGCTAAGTAAAGATTTATTACGTATATTAATTCAAAGCACAACAAACATAGAACAAGAAGATTTTATTATTACTTTATAATGGTGTATGATTTCTAAAATTTAATTTTTGAGAAAAGATGGTTAAATCAAACTCAACATTGGTACAGTATATTAATCCAAAACATAAGCAAATGTAGAATAACAAGATTTTATTTTTACTTTTATTACTTTTTGATGGTATATTATTTAAAAAATCTAACCTCACATAAAGGATGCCTAGGGCGAAGTCTACTAGGCATACTTACTGAGCGCATTGTTTTGTTCATTCCATTCAAGTTCTAATCTTTTTCATATCAAACTGAGGAAGATAGTTTGTAGAGCTAAATTAGGAATTTCATATTCTACTTTACATCAGGTGAGTTGTAGTTCAGTTGATGACTCTATAAAATTATGTTTAACTCAGATTGTAAATTAATATTTCATGTTGTACAAGAGATGAATAACTTTTGTTATATTTTATTTTTAAATTTTTGTGTCGTATTTTCTGATTTAGTTGTGTATGGCGGCGTGATTTTTCGTTAAAGATCTACGAGCCATCACATTATACGTTTTGTTATTTAAATAAAATTATTATGATAAGTTTAATAATTAGCATTATAGTAATTCTAAGTGTCATTGACAATAAAGCTTAATGGTGGAGTTGTAAATTGCCTTCGTAAATAAAACTATTATGTCCAGTTCAAAAAAAAAATAAATGGAGCGATATTCACATATTATACTAAATTCTGGGAAAATTTTTGTTTACAAGCTTTATCTAGAAATATTCATTATATCTAAAAAAAAAATAGATTTCTTTAATAAAAAAAGTTATATTAATTTTTTAACATATTGTAGTTACCCACCTAAAAAGAATTTAACCATCATAAATATTCATTTTTTTTTTTATAAAAATTATAGACGTGTTAAAACTACTGTAATTTTACTAATAAATTAGTTAATTAAATAATTAATTTTTTTTTAACCAAGTATTATAAATATATAATAAAATAATAAGTTTTACATTATTATTTATTTTTAATCGATTATAAAATCACAAAATGACTACCTTTTAAGTTTTTAGTAAAATTAAATTTATAATTTTTATATAAAATGCGAGACTTTTGACCATTAAAACTATCCTAATAATAGTTGATAGGAAGAAGCCGAGAAAGATGAGTCAGGAAAGTTATTAAAATAAGAATGGGCTGGACTTGGGATCTTATCACCATTCAACTCAACTTCTGTAGTTAATTCTCTCAGTCCAAAAGGTATCACTCCTCATGGGCACAAGTTGGAAAAGTAAAGCTGCGGTTGGTGAAGATGAGCAAACCGACAAAACCAGCACACATTTACAAAATTATATATATATATACATTACATGCTTTTTGAAAAATATATAAGTTCATAAAATACATTGTAATATAGAAACTTTTGTTTTTATTTTATATAAAATTTGATAAAAAGATAAAAGAGTCAAAAAAACTCAGCTGACCCAATTTATAAGAAGCTCCTATTATGCCCAGATACTCTGAATTTTCTTTTTCGCATTTTTCACGCCTTCTCTCCCCCACTCTGTTTCAACCACGTCCCGTCCACGCGCCTAATCTTCTCCTTTGTTTAAGATAAAAAAAAATTAAATTAAAACCACCAATTAAATATAATTAAAATATTTTAATTAATAAATTATATAAGTACTCTTGGATGTTAAAGGAAATAAAAAATAAAATGTGAAGCAGAGAAAATAGGAAATATTCCACACTGATTAGCTACCGGAAAAAAGGAAAGCAAAAGTCAAAAAAGGAAAGTAATATACTAATGGTACACAAGAAGAAATCAAAAAGATTACGATTGCAGAAACTCTAGACAGACGACAGTCGACCTTGCTTTTCACATACTACACCAACAAGTAAACAATTATATATGTATGCAATTGAACTGCATACATGTATATATATATGTGTGTGTGTGTGTGTGTATTTGTAAGGACTTAATCTTTGGCTTTTATCCATTTATCTTTGGTAGACGAATATTCTTCATATGAATCAAGAACCAATCTTCAGCTAATTAACAAATGTGTGTTTAAAAATATAATCTTGTGTATAAATATATATGTGTGGACTGTGTGTATATATATTTTTAACTTATTTTTATTCATTTTGACATTTATGTTTCCATAATCTTTGACATTCAAAATTTCAAACTCTTTAATGGGAGTAGTTTTAATATATTTTATTGTCTATGTTAACAATTATATTTGTTACTACATAATTAGCGAATCATCCAATTAATTTTATACATGAATATTTTGTTTTCTAATAAAAAAAAATTATTAGTTCAAAAATTATGTGATTTATGGAGATAATTTTTGTGCTTTTTCCTTCAAAAAGTCAATATTTACTTAGAGATTGACTAGTTGAAGTTGGTAATGATTTACTAAAGATGTTAAATCAAAATCTTTATATATAAAGAATAATTTCTACATATGTATTTATAGTGACAAAATATATTTTGTCCTAAGATGTATTATGGTTTTCTTGTAAATGTTATTATCTGCATCAAATTCTTATGGGTAATAAATTAGAAATAAAATCTTAAATGTATTAAATCTATGTGCATATATATATATATATATATCTGTTCATAAAATTGCTTGAGAAAATTTAAATAAAAAATTACCTTCCAACCAAATTTCTATTTTTCTGCAAGAACATATGTTAAGGTTGGTAAAGATATTTCTATTTGAATATATGGAGCACCTTGACTTTGACCGATTAAGCTGAAATGAACCTTTCTATTTAATTGATCGCAAGACAGACAAAGAAAGATTAATGTGCACCCATATATACGCGCTATATATATGTATATGTATATGTAATTGATAGCTAGCGAGGGCATTAGAATATATATATGTACATATATACAATTAGCAGAAAATAAAAATGTCTTATATGAATAATTAAAAAATAAAATAATAGTAAATTGCACGTCATGAAATTTTCTCTAACTTGCTTTATTAATGCATACGTCTCAACCAAATATTTCTTCTTGGTTTAGAGAAAATAAGTAGCAGAGAAAGAAAGAAAGAAATCAAGAAAGCAAGAAAGAAAGAAAGAAAGAAAGAAGGCCTTGCGTTTCTCATGAACCGTGGTGTCGTATTGGGTTTCTATTGCTGGGGCTGGGAGTTCCTAACTTCCCTCCTTCTCTTCTCCAGCTAAACTCTTCTTCTTCTTCTTCTTCTTCTTCTCCTTCTTTTTCTTCTTTACAAGCTTTTTTTTTTTCTTCTGTAGTTTTTCTTTTCCTGCGTTAATGGAGGTTATAAGCGATTGTGATCGGAATCTAATTGTAAGTCATAAAGGTTTAGTATTGGATCAGTACGTGATGAGAAAGTCAACACCGCCGCCGTTCTTGGTCAAAACGTATATGCTGGTGGAGGATCCGGAGACGGACGACGTCGTTTCATGGAACGGAGAAGGGACAGGGTTCGTGGTGTGGCAGCCGGCGGAGTTCGCCAGAGATCTCCTCCCCACTCTCTTCAAGCACAGCAACTTCTCCAGCTTCGTCCGCCAGCTCAACACTTATGTACGTATTTTTTATTCTCATTCCGTTATTATTTAATTAATCTTCCTAGCTGATTGCTAATTCATCGTGAAGATATCAGTGTCGATAATTTTTTTTTTTTATAAAATTTCTGGTGGGTATATAATTAATTAATTAGAAAAGGTACTAAGTCATGTCTAATTAACCAAACTTGGCTTGTACTTCTTACTGTCTATATTAATGGGTGATCTATATAATGAATTCTTTTTATTTTCATTGTAATTTCTGGTAATTAAAAGAAGTTTCATGGGTTGTCTGTTTTTCTTCCTTTTTCAAATATGAAAGCAAAAAGAGGAAAAGAAGAAGGAAGTCAGAAGTTTCATATATATATATATATATATATATGCGTGTGTATATGTAAATATATATGTAAACAGCTAGGTAGTGTTGAATTGGACCAAGTACACTCATACAGACACATACACATACATATAGCATTAATATTATTCAAAGTTTCATGGTATGAAAAGGTTGTTGAAAATTGGAATTGATGTTCATTTTCCAATACTAATTTGCAAAGTGATCCTCAACTTGGACTGAAGTCAATATATTTAAAACCAAAACTCCATTAAAACTAATAGAACCAAAAACAAAGTTCTCGTGACTCATTATTAATGGGTAATTATTAGTTCATACATAAAAGAGTTATATATACGTATACATGTATTTATGTTAATTTATGACATTAACATCCTTGATTCTAGTAGCTTCATTTTTACCTTATATCTACATATATGTGTATGGGTGATGTAAACGTTATACGTGTATATTTATATATGCGTGTTATAGGGATTTCGGAAAGTTGCAACAAGAAGATGGGAGTTCTGCAATGACATGTTTCAAAAGGGAAAAAAGGAGCTTCTATGCAACATTCGCAGAAGAAAGTCTTGGCCTAATAGCAACAAGCAAGTTTCTACTCCTCCACAAGAACAAAAACAAGAACATCATCATCAGGTTGATGATTTAGATCAACGGTCATCGTCCACTTCATCATCCGGCTACGTTATTCTGATGGATGAGAACAAACGTCTGAAGAACGAGAACGGAGCTCTAAGCTCGGAGCTGACCACGGTGAAAAGAAAGTGCAAGGAGCTTTTAGATTTGGTCAACCACTATTCACATTTTCATGATCATCATGATCATCATCATCATCATGATGTGATCATCGATGATGATGACGAAAATGATGGTGATATTGATGATGAGAGGCCATTAATGTTGTTTGGAGTGAGGCTGGAAATTCAAGGAGTTGATCATCAGAGGAAGAGAAAGATGAATATCAGAAAGAGATCAGCGGCTGAGATTTACCAAAACGCCACCAATGTCTTATTACCACAATCATGCAAATGATTATGCTATATCTCAATTTGATATTAAATTAAAAGTTGAGTGTTCTAATTAGTTTTACTTCAAATGATATTTAATAAATAATATATTAAAAACTGTAGTGTTAATGTTGTGTAATAGTTGGCAAACAAAGCTCTTGTTAGAATCAAACTTTTATCATAGAATTCTTGGTTGGGATAATGTGTGATTGAACACTATCTATTTATATATCTATTTGTCAAGTTTGTAATAATAAAGTTTAAATTATTGTTGTCCACGGCCATTTCTTTTTTCTTTTTTCGAACTTGTATAGTTTATGGGACGATGTGGATTGATGCATTTTGAAATCAATATCTAGAATTTCCATAGTAAAATGCTGTGTTTGATTTTAATATATTACATTTTTGTATTTTATTTATTATATATATATATATAATTTAATTACTATCTATTGCATTTGATGGTAATTAATGAATTCTTTTTATATTCAATTCTATAATGATAAACTTATATTTTCATAAATTCGAGTATTGTAAGAAAGAATTAATTGCTTGGTGATTGCACATATACTCACCACAAAATTGTACTTTGAGAAAGTCTTATTATAAAGTCTCATCAAGACTTGTGAATATGCATTTTGTTTTTAAGATTTTTTATATTTATATTGGGGAGAAAGGTTTTGTTCTACGAAATTGTTATTATGAGCTATGTTTTGGGGTTGTTATTATGATTGTGTTATCAGTTTTTCATATATTTTTATCAAACTTTATATTTTAATATTTTATAACATTCGTGAATGTATAATACATTCTATCAGATTTTGTTAATCTTTTTATAAATAATTAGTCTTGTACTATTTTATAATAATATTTTGTTATTTTTTATTAATAAATTTATTATTTTTTAAAATATTTATGTTATATTTTTATTATTTATTCAAATTAAGATTTGAACCAACCTCTAATTTAATGTTATTATAGTCCTATATTAGGATCTCGTATATAAATAGGTTAAGTTTCAATTAGATTTTAATTCTGTAAAATATATACCAAACATGAAAATTTGAATGAGAATAATATTGTAACTTTTTGTTAATTTAATGTTTAATTTAAATTAAACACTTTTATAATTTATGCTTTGACATATGAAAATATAAATCCATGATTGTCATGAAATTGAAGATATAATTAGTAGAATTGACTTGAGTATGCATCATATTGATAAATAATAACTATACGTACATATTAAATTAAAACTAAAAAATCAAACAAAAATAATGTGATATATTTAAACGGAATGCAATCTTTATGTTTAAATTCTTCATAAATAGAAATATTTGAATTTTATATAAACACAAATACATGAAGGTGCAAGTAAAACCATTCACTATGACCATCTAGTGAAAATACAAATTACTAGTATTAAATTAAAAGTAATTGTAATAAAAGTTGGCAAAAGTAATGGTGGGCATCATCTCATATATGAGATAATTTATTCTTTAAAATAATTTAAAATTTAAAGATAAAAAGTTTTGAAACTTCTCTCTCTCTCTCTCTCTCTCTCTCTCTCTTGTCTCTTTGTAAAAGAGCAAAATTTTCTTTGGTTTAATAATTACACCAAGTCTTAGATAATTGCCAAGAATGCATATGCATGCCAAATATATCTTGACAATAGACACATGACATTATAATATTATATCCATAGTCCATATATTGCTAAGCAACTATTATTTGAGCTTATAATTATCTTATAAAATTATGAAATGATGCATAGAGCATTATATATCTAAACTAATTATTAGGGGGTGTCAATTTTAAAACTGGAATCGACCACGTACGCCTAACTAAGTAAATCACAACCAGGTCTTCATCATAAAATTCAGCTAACTGTGATTACATACAGATTTCATGGGAGATGATTTAATAATTAATTTAGTCAAATTTATATTCAACGTTTTTCCCACTGTATTTAAGCTAATGAAGATTTCTTTTCCTTTTTTTTTTTTTTTTTTTCAATTGCAACTAATAATAATGGATTCATTTAAGTTTTATGAACTTCAATTTTGGGGACCAAATATTTTTGCTAAAAAATAACAAGAAAAATTAAACTGTAACTCGATCAAGATAGAAGTAAGCAAATGTCGGCAAGTGAATAATGTAATTAGGAAGAGAAGAGAGAAATTCTGCAGTGACATGAAATGTCAGAATTTTTGAGATCGGGTAAGGAAGTTACAAGGCACCTTGAATGATTGATAAATAATTGACGTTTGAATTCCATCAAATTAAAATAACAACAAAACTACTCCTCTTCACTTCAAATTCATTGACCAAATAAATTTCATTTTTTCTTTGGTGGGTCCAAAAAGTTAGTAACAGGAGCTGCTTTCTGTCGGATTTTTGTTTGTCATGATCATGAACAAATACCATGTCAAGATATTCTTTCCACACACACATATATGTATGTGTACATACACAGACGTAAATATATAATAAAAAGCATTCAGTGTTTGGGTAACGTGTGCAATTGTACTTGCATAAGTTTCTTCGGTCGTTAGTACGCTAAGCAGGAACGTTAACAGGGGTTGTTGGCGACTCTTTGGGGCAATTGATTTCTCGCTTTCCAACAGTAGCGGACGGTCTTAATATACATTTTATATATATATATATATAAATATTTATGTATTCATAGGAAGACCAAACTTTCTCCTTCTCATTTTGGAAATCCCGACAATTGAGCATAAAGTACAGAAAGACAAATACGAAGTCAAACTAAGGAGATAAGGATGAGGTTACACGACTGCCACCTAGCCGAATGTATAAAGAATCAGTTGGCTTTGACATCAAAGTAGATGTATTCACAACCAATTTGTGCTTGATTCAATTAGAAGTTAAGTTCGACTTTGATTGGATCAACTTTACAATCCAATTAAATTCTGGAAGTTCATTTTTTCTAGTGAATTTAAATTGAAATGCCTTTAAAAAAATTTCACATCCAGCTAGAAATTCAAACTGTGCAACGTTCCTAGAAAATATAATTCAAGCTCTGAAATAGTCCACTGGAAGAAAATCGAGTCTTGACTTGGGTTTCGAGCAATAAAAAATTTCATTCTTACTTTTCTGCTCCACCAAAGAATGTCAACGAATATTTTGTAAAATTTGTTGACTTATTATATTCCAAGTTTGTTCTAGATCTAATCCCTTTTTGTCTCACCCAAGAAGCATTCAGAAGTTGAGGGATAAAATTCATGATTCATGCAATCAAGATTTCTACACAAAAATATGTAGACGAGGATATAACATATTCATCAAAGATTTCTATACCAAAATAAGTGGGTGGTCTTTGTCCCAAATAAACTCGGACCAGTGGTCCATTTTGTTTTGGGCCTAACATTAAGTACAATGGACTTGGGTCTAGTAAATTCTGGCCCTCCTAAATAATAGTTCTTCTTGTACGGTTGGCCTTCGGTCAAGGCTCATGACATCAGGTCCGAAAGTCAATTTCCTAGGCCTCACGCCAGCCCATTACTGATCCAACCACGCAACACACGCCCCATGAAATGAATCTTTTATCCCAGTGAGATTAGGCCCTGTTAATAGATTCTGGGTCAATGCACCCAGTAAGTTTGAGCTTCAAGATCATTGTGCATGTGCTGATGCAGTGGCAAGAAGTTATGGGTGATTGCAGGATCATGTCCGCTGTGCCGGCTCATGGCATGAGACTTAGACAATATGAATTTCAATGTTTTAGAACTTCGTAAGTCTGTAGATCCTATGCTTTCTATCATTTACAAGTGGTGAGAATGTTTTTGACAGACGGGAGAAGAAGGCAGCATTTGACGTTTGATTCCTGGCTCCCTTTTCTTGCTTCCCACAAATAATGGCTCGAAAAAAATTACAAGCCAATTACTTGGACAAGAAGATATCATGAGTTGGCTGCAAAATGGTTAAATATTGTTTCCAGAGTTGACTGGCTAATACTGTATTCTGCTATTCCCAATTGATTTCTGTAAAATTTTGAAAAAAAATCAGTTAAAGTAATCAATCACTGTAGAACAGTAAAAGAAGTGAACCAATGAAAAGATTTAGAGAAAATGAGAAATTCTGTGTTTTACCTGTTCCATTCTAGGCATCCAAAAGCATCTGCAAGTGAAAGGCCCTCTCCATATGGCAACTGAAATCAAATTGTAGATAGCTTAATAAAGAGACTGAAGAATAATATCTATATTTTCGTGTATGAACTTTTTAACCAACCGTGCTTTCATTTCCCATTGAATTTCTAATGAATTCTTACTTCTCATAGTAATCATAAAGTGAATCCAACAAACTATTCTGATTATGTATATTAAGGTTGATCTAGAATTTTGGGATTATGAATTGATTAGGAACTGAATGTGCTTTCATTTCCCATTTGATTTCTAATAAACTCTCACTTCTAATAGTAGTCATAATGTGAATCCAACAAATTATGTTCTGATTATGTATATTAAGGTTGACAAAAAATTTCAGGATTATGAATTGACTAAGAATTGAATGGAAAATGAACTGAGAAATGAGTAAAGCACATTTCTTCTTTTTACTTGCGGAGAAATGAAGCAAACTAAGATAAACTTGAATCACAATAGTTGATCGTGAAATAATAGAACTCTTAAGTTTCCCAGTTTAATTCGACATGAATATATTTTTAACCAGCAATAGTACTATAGAATTTCCTTGAAGACTGGAGTTATTCTAAGATATTTCAGCAGGAATCTAACGACAATTCTATGCAAATTTATTATATACAGCTGGAAGTTGTATTGTTTACCTCGTACTTAACACTCAATCCATTGCACCCCCGAAATATTGCACCAGAAAATGAAGATTGGATAAATGAACCTATTGTGGAAAACTTTTCCTTGGCTAGCCACCATTCTGAGAATAACGGCAATGGTATGCCACCTACACAAATCCAGATGGCAAGCAAAAACAGTGAAAAAATTACCCAAAAAGAAAAAGACAAGTCAATAAATGGTTCCAAACAAATTTCTATCTTTAAGGTATGACAGGAACAAAAATTAACACAAACCTTCTCGAATCAACTGCTCTGATAACTGTTCTCCAAACAGCCCATCACAGACAGGTGTTGAAGATATAAGTGTCTTTATTCTTTCTTCATTACCGAGCAAGCGTCCAATAATAGTTAGCATTTCTAGTGACAAACTAATTTCTGCTGCTGATGCATTGTCTGGTGTAATTGAGTCAGTACCCCGTATACAAACTTCAAGATCATCAAGCAAGGTTCTCCGGTGTGAAGGGATGTCAAAAAGCCACTGTTGAATATTTTGGCAAAGGTTGTCTAAATCTGCAGAGCTGACCTCAGTAGGTTTAACCTAAGCACAAAAATGAAGAAAATAAATTAGCAAAGATTTAAGAATGTTGAACATTGGCATTGAACATGTTGAAAGTCACAGTTGACGAAATACCTCTAGCTCAAGATGGTTCCCAAAACGTGTTTTCAAGTGTTGGGGACTCCCAATGCATCTAAGACGGCCTTCAACCTAAAACATACACTGGTTTTATCAGTTGAAAACATGGAATATTTCCCCAATTTAATGGGTCTATATTAAATTTTTACCATTATTCCAATTCTTGTGCATAAAGCTTGTGCTTCATTCATGCTATGGGTAGTTAAAATGACTGCTGTCTTTCCTCGTCTTGTTGATAAGTGGGATATCACTTCCCACATGAATCGTTTGGCTATTGGATCCATACCTGAAGCATTCAACTACAATCAGTATTATATCATTAAGTAAGCTGCTGCAAAAACCAAGGTTGTTTTGGTAGCATTTACGAAGCAATATTCAATAGAATCAATTACAAGTATAATATTAAAACAATATATGAAAAATTTAGACTAATCTCAGAAAGGTTTTGGTAGAAAATAAAAGGAAAAAAATATTTTTCAGTGCCCTTTGGTTCATGGAATGAAACTTCACCAGGGAAGATTGATACAAATGATATTTGGCTTACAAGTTTCCCACAACAACTTAACATGACATGTTTTGTTTCCATAAAAATGAACACAACATCAACAAGCAATTTCACAACATCAACATTCACCCGTGAGATAGAGGCCAAAAAGAATAATTTATTTTGGCCTCCTAAGGAGAATTAGCTTGGCATGAAAATACCAGAAATTCAAGTACCTGTTGATGGCTCATCAAGGATGACAATCGGAGGATCTCCAATCATTGCAATTGCAACAGACAATTTGCGTTTGTTTCCTCCACTAAGGGTAAATGATGGTTTGTTGGCATGCTTCAACAAGTCAAACTCAGCTAACTTTTCCATAACAACCTGTGCATATCATAAAATGGAGAGAGGTTCTTGAAGTGGCAGTCATTTATACAATAGTTATCTAAAAAACAACAAAAAATTGCCACTTAATTAAAAGGAGTAAGGTTGTGCATGAGACAGGGCTCAGATACAATCTTAAACTTCAGCAGAGAACAAATGAGAATGCAACTATACATTAGATAATCCAACTTGTGTATTCAACTCTAGAACCATAAGGAGAAAGAAAAGGAGGAGTCACAGTCTTGGTAGTAAAGCAGTCTTCAACTCAAATCAAATCTGAATCTATTAACAGTAAGACCACTAAGTAAAGAACTTCTATTTTCTCAATTGTTTATGACATTAAAAAGAATGTAAGTAATTATGAACTTAAAAATGAGATACATACATCATTTATTCTATGATCTGCAACTCCTTTTATTCTTGCGTAAAGCTCAAGGTGCTCCTTGGCAGTCAGATATTCCAATAAAGAATCAAATTGAGGGCAATATCCAATCTGTGCGCACAATGATGCAAGAAAACAAGTTAGGGAGGTCAACGATATACCTGAATCTGAATTCAATTTGGACAGAAATATAAACAAGGCAATTAATACATACATGCCGGCAGGCAGGATTGGGATTTGAACGGATATCTTTGCCAAAAATATAAGCAGTGCCATCTGTTGGAGTTTCTTCTCCTGTTGAAGAATATAAACAAAGAAGATTATAAACACACAATAAGCATGGTTCAGCAAAACCACTATAACAGTTAGGGTCAGCAAGAACATAAATAATGATTGGTCAAACTAGTGAGAAGAATTAAGTTAGGTCAGTTGTCTTTAGTTTTTGTATTCAGTTTTGTTTTATGTCAGTTCAGTTTTCTTAGGATAATTTGGAATTTTCAGTTTTGATTAAGAATGTGAGGAGTAGCTTTCACCTACTGTGATGTGGGTCGTCAGTTTCTAAAGGATTGGGCCTGATTACTAGTAGATGTATTTACAGGTCATTTTGCAAATAAAAAATTAAGCAGTATTTTGTTCCAAGAGTTGAGTTTCTCCATAAACAAAAAGACATCAGAAGAATTCTCTCTAATGAGCCTTTACTAGTATTCATAATAGATCATGAAGGTAGAAAATTTCAAAACCATTCTAACCTTCAGCTATATTTTACTCCAACTAGACTAACAGCTAGATGCCAGACTAGGGACCTTAACATAGTTCCAAGAACAAGAAAATGAAGTAGCGACCGAAACCACTAAAACACTGAGACAAATAATTAATGCTAGAACCATATTATCATGCACAAACATAAAAAAAAGTCTAGTTATTTAATAAGCTTTGCACACTCCAACTTTTCCAAACAAATAGTCATCAATTAATGCTTTCTTACCTACCTAATGCTGGTAACTGACGATAATTAAATAAGTGGTATTGCTCCAAAAGACAGTCAATTTGGTATGATTAAAAAACTATAATATGATCCGTGCTGGTTCCATAAGGTTATGTGCATACCAGATAGCATTGATAGAGTAGTAGTCTTCCCAGCTCCATTTGTCCCTAAAAATCCAAAACATTCTCCTGCCTGAACTGAGAAAGTTAACGAGTGTACAGCTATTTTTCCTCCATAATTCTTGCCTCCACAATACACCTGTAGTTGGTACGATGTCATTATAGAACATTAACTAACTTCCTTTCGACAGGAGCACGTGTTGTACAAAAAATATTAAGCACCTTCCGCAGATTATGCAAGTAGATTATGGCATTATCTATAGAACCTGACAGCACCCTGTTTCTCTCCGTCCGGACGTCTATATCTTCATTGAGTTCAGGAGCAACAGGCTCTGAGGAAGATTGTATAAGAGGTTCCAAATAGCTAGAAGAATTCCCAGGCTGGAGAACTTTTGACACTCTTCCACCACTCCTTAATTGCAACTCGACTCAATATGTTGGAAGGCAAGTTTCAAACCCAAGGGTCAAGAGGAAGTAACAAATGTTCTGTCAGAGGGAACAAACTTTAATCATATAAGACCACAGCCATATTCAAAAAGTAATTTCCTCTGTAGTATATGCATTTAAAAGGTACCGAGTGAAATGAACTTATGATTTTAGTGTCCACCACTATGGCAAAGTATACTGCCGTTATTTATTATTAGGAATTTGCATCACCATGCAAAACCGAAAACATTAGAAGTGAGATTCCCTAAATGATTAAACAATGTAAGTTGACAGGATTTTTTTCCCCTTCCGCAGTATTCAAATAAACATATGTTTTTCTTATGAGATTTTGCCTTGTGAGACAGTCCACATAACAAAGATAGCCTCATTAACCCCTATAAACTTGTTTTAAATTTACATGTTTGATTGTAATGGGAGAAAAATAATATCTCATCAGCATGATGTTGACTGAACAGCATGATAATCCACTCATGAATTATAAAATCCACAGAAACTTGAACCAGTTGTTATAAGAAAAGGATCACTAAAAACTGAGGGAAGAAATTTACCTCCATACCAAGATAACAAATAGAGGCACCAGTAACATTCCAATCAAAAACCCCATGAGTTGATTTATCTTTCATTCCTTGCCGCAGAAGAGCCAGCGAAGCAAGTCCATCAGCAAAGCAAAACCCTGGTGATAATCTGAAGAAATTCTGAAAAAGCAGAAACAAGTATTAAGACAAACCAATTTTTGAGTGAGAATAATTGTCACATCCAACATAAACATTCAGAACATGCAACTAAAAAACATATGAACTCATGGCTTATTAACACAAATCCTATGAACATTTTTGCTCTCCTTGTTCTTCTGTGTCCAAAGGATGTCCTATCCTACTCATCTCTCTTGTAACTTCTACTTCTCTTCAGTAATTCTTTTTTATCAAGGGAAAAAAAAAGAAACCAATGAGTTTAGAATGAATCTAAAAATAGAAAAAGTTAAAGCATATCAAATTATGTGCTTCTTAAATAGACAAAAGCTTACTATATTAATCAAGGAATTCCTCACACTAACAAAATTTTGTTCTATAACTTTGAGATCTGTAAAGGAGAAACTCCTCCCTCTAAGATTATGTGCTTCTTAAATAGACAAAAGCTTCCTATATTAATCAAGGAATTCCTCACACTAACAAAATTTTGCTCTATAACTTTGAGATCTATAAAGGAGAAACTCCTCCCTCTAAGACTCTTAAAATGGTTAAAGCTAGCGGTAAATAGACACAGCATGCATTTGAACCATGACAATATCAGTGACCATAAGGAAATTAAAAACAACAAATTCATATATCTAATGAGTAAAAAGGAAATAAGGTTAAGTACGTACTGAAAAACAAGAAAGAAAATCTCATAGGCCTAATAGGACTTAAGATAACATCCTTGCCAATATTTTAGATTCGACATACATAAAGGCCAGATTTAATTGACTTGAAGTATTATCGTACTTGCATCTAGTTCCTGAACCAAGAAAGATCAAAAGCAAATAGGAACCAAACCTTAAGGAATGAATTTGCACTTCTGGTTGTCTCTATAAGACCCATGATAAATGACATAACCATGAGAATCAGTCCAGTGAAAAAGTGAACCAGGAGAACCACATTCTGGAGTTAAGAGTAAAAACATTAACATTCATAAGAAGTTTAAGCTTCAATAAAATTTAAGCTTTAATTGCTTAAAGATCAAGAAGAAAAAGAAAAAAAATTTAATATCCCAACCGACCTGAGCCATGCTGTGTTCAGAAAAAAAGAATGTAAGGCAATATGTTGATGATGCAATTGCCAGTCCATACTCCAAAAACATGAGAATTGTCGCCAAAAAGCAACCCCTTCCAACAAACTGGTCTAAACCTGCAGAAAGATTACTTCCTATGATAAGAAGACCATGAAAGCAAAGAAGAAGGAAAAAAGGCTAACAAAACTAATCAGATATTACTACACTCAACATAAGTCATCTTCATGGTAGAGTCAATATAGCTAGGAGTAGAAACAACAGGTATATATTTCCTCTCATCCTGTACTCCATTTAAGATTAGGGGATGGTTCCATGTTCTCTTTCGAGACGCCCATTGGTTGGTAGCATCTTCCCTGTCCTTTTCCTTCCCTCTGTACTCTTTTCGAGACATGATTTCTGCCTCTTCTTTCATGAATCAATTAGATGGCAATATGTCTTTGAATCTTTAAATGGTCAGGATATGTTAGATTGGGTTGGAAACATTAGAAATGGTGTCCTTAACGGGGAGCGAAAGCATCAATACAATAGAACATGAAAGTAAAGTTGTGACTTAGGCTTAGTCACAAGAAGTAGTTCAATGTCGGAATGTTCATTGATTGAGCTTTTTCACTCCCGGTCATACAACTTGGATTATGGTCTCTCACTTCTTCTCGAGAGTTGGATAGTAAATAGGATTGGGACTGATGATTGCTTTAAGCTCATAGACCTCACGGAGTAAACCCAATGTCTTATGTGCTTGAGAAATACAGTGAAAAATTAGAACTTAGAAGTATACCAAAGATGTAAAAGAGAATTATTGCGAATGTTGAGGGAAATAAGAAGCTGATGAAGTCCCAAATGTAGGTAGATGCCCAGTATGACAGTATAGAAACCTGATCAAGATACATTGTTATGAGATATGTATCATAGGAGTAGAGCAAAACAATGAAGGATCAGCTGCTCTTTCCAAAAGAGAAAAAGGCATACCCCACTAATCAGTTGCTGGTGCTTTGCTTTCACTTCTCGTTCCTGCATCAAATATAATCTTAGAGTGAAGTTTTATGTGAGTGCAGAAGACACTCGGTGTCACAGTCGAATCTTTTCTAGGTCAATAAAGTGGTCAACCAAAAGGAAAAGAAGCAACCAATTCTCTAGTTGAATTGATATCGTCCCCTCCATGGGACTTTGATGACCCATATTCAAGCTCCTTTATGAGCCCATTAGACATTAGGACAGGAAAAAAATGAAAAAAAAAAATGCAAGATGACAATCATGGCATGATTTCGCAAAACATCATAATGGTATTAATAAAATGATGATTTGCATGTATAGCTCACCTCAGGGTACAACAATGTAAAAGAAAATAATGAAACTGAAACAAGCAGTATATATAAATGACATGACATTTAGGTAAGGAGATAAGTTAAGAGTGAATAGGCTACAGTTGGAACAGGAAAACAAAATAATTTTTTCATTTCCTAAACACCCATGCTCCATACTCATGCACATGCGTCACACATATTTATATACTTTTGCATATATGTGAAAGCATATATATTCACACAAATAATTTCATCTATTTTTATATGCATACATATATAACCATTTTGTTTTTATTTTCTAAAATGAAAATGGTAGAGAAAACATATATGGTAGTTGAATAAAAACAAATGTTAAATAAATGATGTTTACATACAGTTTTTTTCTGCTTACACATAGTTATACAGACATATTCATGCATATATAATTTATTGATAGAAAAATATATATATAGTACAAAAATATAAATGTCAATACACAATTACACATAAATGTACACGAACATAACATATAAGCATACATGTCAAAACATATAAGTTACATTCCTCACCTACATATGAATCTACAAGAGATAAAAGTTACGAAATAAAAGCTAAAAAATAAAAAGCTGCAAAAATCTTTTAGGTAACAAATGCAGGCTAAAGTTCTCTACCGGTGCAAGGAGAAGCAAATGACAGGAACAAAAACAAAAAACTGTTTGAATATTTGTTTTCAGTTTATACACATAGATATACCTACACATGTGTGACACAAAATCACATAGGTATATACATGCACATATACATGTATATATTATATGCATATATAACTAGACACGTGTGTACTATATATAATATGTATGAAATATGAATACACAGCTAGAATATGAGTTATGCAGATAACTATGCTTATACATATTGTTTTTTATTTATTCATATATCTACCTCTGCGTATGCACATATACTTATATTTCTTTTCAAAAAATATATACTTACATTGTACATATTTTTTAAACTTATATGCATATAAAAAATTTAAAAAATGAAAACTAGGAAATGGTTTTATGTAATAAACACAGCATGAACTTCTTCATTGTTGCAAGGGTTTTCATGCAAAGACGTCAAAAAGAAGCAAAAGAAAGGGGAAAGAACCCAGAATTAAGGATGCTTGGAAGAGAGGGATTACTTCCATTTATAAATTAAAGCTGGAGGGCTTGGTCATTGTTAAAAATGAAGCAGACATGCCTCCCATGAGAGGAATCCTCAAGATCCAGTGTTAGATTGGTATTACCCAACTACTTTGTTCATTTGCATAAGCATAAATGAATAGATAATGAATTAAAATTTTAAATGCACAAGATTTAAAATGATTATATTTGACCATGAACAGAAATTAAAGCACAGAAAGAAGTACTTTACGAGGACTGCTCCAAACACCTTCATAAGGGACAAGAGGAGCTTTTTTTGCATTTTTTTCCCCAAAAACAATATATAAGAAGGAAATTAACTACTCATGCAAAATAAAAGTTTCATGAGCGTACAATATCCAAATATTAAGTGAGAGAATATGAGCAAATGCATAGCAGAAATGAGCCTGATGATGGATGAGACAAGAGAGAAGTATAGCAGCCCTTCAGAATAGAACTATTTATGATCTATATCACTTTGAAGTGAGTGGAAACAGCTTAGGACAAGAAAGTTTGCATAATGAGCAAGCATCTACTTTACAAAGGATAAAATAATCTCGATCTTTAGTTCTATGACTGAAGACTATGAATTTCAGGTTTATGGAAACCAAGTAAAAATAAAATTCCAATAAAGGTAGATACTTGTGTTAAGGAAAGACAAAATAAACTTGTTAACCAAAATAAAATAAAATAAAGTGAATTCAACCTCATAACTTATAATAAACAAGTTTTGACTAAAGTTTAGATATAAGTACCTTTACAATCGGAATGGCAAAGGAGGCGGGAATAAATGAAAATGCAATGTTAACAATCACTGCTGCAGAGAAGGCATCCAGATCCTATGAAATTCAAGGATTATTCTCTGAGTTTTTGTTGAAAGACTAAAAGAAATAAATGTTACAACTGATAACTGCATAATGATGTCAAGATATACACATGCTGGCAAGAAATTAGGAGAATTAATTGGAAATCCTGTAAATTGAGGAATTAGGAGGTTAAGTTTCCTAATAAATTAGTGTCCTATTTAGGAATGAGTTAGTTTCCTATTTTTTTCTCTTGTAACTTATTACATAATACCATGTATTATCAATTCAGAAATAGAGATTTTTCTTTTCTTCATATCCTCACATGGTATTCGAGCTCTAAGCTCTTTTCTTGGAATTCTGCCTCTTTTCTCTTTAGCCTTAATTGTTGAACGATCTTCCTTTCAGCCTTCATTGCTGATCTTGTTTTTTATTTCTCCTTCTTCTTTAATTCCCGTTTGGGCAGTCTTAATTGCTGTTGATTTCCTTCTTTCATCACGTCAATCTCCCAAACCACCGACACCACTACTTCCAACAATTCAAATTCCCTCGAAGAGTCCAACTCTGTTCAAAAAATTGGAGAATTGCAGAATATTCGGGTCTCCAATAGACTCGATGGGAAAAACTATCTCAAATGGTCTCAATTTGTCTACACATACCTCAAGGGCAAAGGGAGACTTAATCGCCTTCTTGGAACGGGACCGACAAAGGATGACTCGTCGTTTGAAGTATGGGACAAGGAGGATTCCATGATAATATCTTGGCCATGGGATTCTATGGATCTCATGATCAATGATACGTGTATGTTTTTGGCTACAACAAAGGAAATTTGGGATTTCATTCGTCACACATATTCGAAGGCCCATGATGCTGCTTAAGTGTACGAGATCAAGGTAAGAATTGCAGCCACTAAGCAAGGAGACAAATCTGTCACAAAATATGCAAACATGCTGCAAAACCTATGACAAGAACTTGATCATTACCGAGTTTTTAAGATGAGACACCCCGAGGATGCTGTCATCTTGAAGAACTTCATTGAAAAAGACCAAATCTATGATTTTTTGGCTGGATTGAATTATGAATTTGATCAAGTTAAAATCCAAATCCTTGGCAAGGAGGACACCTCTCCTCTAGAAGAAACAATATCATTGAATCGAGCAGAAGAAAGCCAAAGGAGTGTTATGCTTCAAACACAACAAATCGTGAACGAGTCAGCCTTAATAACAAAAATATATCATCAGAAGAAAGGAAAGGGTAATCTAACTCAACAACCTGGTAGAGAAAACCAATGGAAGGAGAACAAGGACAATGTCTGGTGCACCTATTGCAAGAAACCGAGGCACACAAAAGAAAAGTGTTGGAAAATGAATGGTAAGTCACCAAGCCGAGAATGGGGGAGTCGTAGGGGGCAACAAAGGCCTCAGGCACATATGGTAGAGAAACCCAAAACTGAGGAAAATTCAGCAACAGGGGGATTCAACAATGAAGAAATTGAGAAGCTGATAAACCTGTTGGGATCTCTTGGGAATCCTTCTGGAACTTGTTCTCTGGCTCTTCCAGGTAAACCTTCGTTCTCTTTTTGCATGAATGCCTCAGAAACATTATATGCTAATTCTTGGATAATAGATTCTAGTGCCACAAATCATATGACCTTCATACCTCAACTCTTTCACACTTATACTCCATAACCGAATAACAGGAAAATTTTAATGGTCAATGGCTCTTTAGCTACTATCGCAAGGTTCAAAGATATACAAATCACACCTACCCTTACCCTTAAAAATGTCCTCCATGTACTTAAACTATCAACCAACATGGTTTCCATTCAAAACTAACCCATGATCTTAAATGTTATGTAACTCTTTTTCCTTCTTATTGTGTTTTTCGGGATTAGCACTCAAGGAGGAGGATTGGATTTGCTAAGGAAAGAAGGGGTCTTTAACACCTTGAATTATCAAAAAACGGTAGAAGCAATTGGTCATTGGTTTTCTTCAGTTCCACAAATAAAGATGTCATTTTGTTGTATCACCTACGTTTAGGTCATCCATTTTTCAGGGTTTTAAAAGTCATGTTTTCTCATTTGTTCCATGGATTAGATATGTCTGAGTTTCATTGTGACACTTGTGAATTAGTAAAACATGCTCATGTATCTTTTCCTATCAACAATAAAAGAACCTCTCATCATTTTCATTTAATTCATAGTGACATATGAGATCTTTCTACAATATCAAATGTTTCTGGGGCTTGTTGGTTTGTATCCTTAATTGATGATTGCACTCGAATTACTTGACTCTCTTTTTTTAAACAAAAATTTGATGTTAGCATTGTTATACCCAACTTTCACTCAATGGTTCAAAACCAATTTGGGGCTAAAATAAAAAGCTTTAGAACAGACAATGCTAGAGAATACTTCAACCATATTTTGTCACCCTATTTTCAATCACAGGGCATTATCCATGAATCATCATGTGTTAACACATCTCAGCAAAACGGGGTAGCTGAAAAGAAAAATGGGCACTTACTTAACACCACCCGAACCTTACTCTTTCAAGAGAATGTTCCTAAGTCCTATTGGGGAGAGGTTGTTCTTACTGCTACACACTTGATAAACAGGCTTTCCTCATGTGCATTAGACAATAAAAGTCCCATAGAGATCCTTAATAGTTTTTAACCTCATTTCAGAACCTCAAACGGCCTAACACCCAGAGTATTTGGGTGCACTGCCTTTGTTCACGTCCACAATCAACAAAGAGGCAAGTTATATCCTCGAACCATAAAATCTGTTTTTCTTGGTTACTCATCCACTCAAAAGGAATACAAGTATTACAACTCTTCATCCAGAAAATTTTACATCTCTACAGATGTCACCTTTATAGAAAATAAATCGTTTTTCTCACAATCCTGTCTTCAGAGGAAGATTTCAATAATGAAAGATAGTATTTGTAAGTCTTTTAAACCAATCGAAACCCTTGACCTTTCTCAAGTTCCAGCCCTTACTGTTGAATCCGAGACCTTTGACCTAATCACATCTGAGTCACCCAATTCTGCTACTAAACCCGTGTCACCACTTGTCCCTACCAGTGCAAATCAAAAGTTACCAAGGTTCACTCAAGTGTATTCAAAGAGAAAGGCCATTCTAGAATTGATACTAGTCCAAGTATCTAACCCAGACTCTGGAAATGAGATCACAGTAAGATTTGACTCACCTTTACATACACAATCTGTTAAAACACCTGATAATCCAAAAGATGACCTAGACCTTCCCATTGCTATGAGAAAAGGTACCAGAGAATGCACCAAACAACCGCTTTACCCACTATCTCACTATGTCTCTCTTAAGCACCTATCACTATTTCACAAAAATTTCATTGTAAGTTTAAACGCCATTACTATCCCTAACACTGTTTTCAAGGTATTGTCAAAAAGAGAATGGAAGGATGCTATGAGAGAAGAGATGAGTGCATTAGAAAAAATATAAAACATGGGAGATTGTTGATAAACCAAAAGAGAAAAACATTATTGATTGTAAATAGATTTTTACACTAAAATACAAGGCTGATGGATCCCTTGAAAGATATAAAACAAGATTGATGAAGAAATGAATATACTCAGACTTATGGGATAGATTATCAGGAAACTTTTGTTCCACTTGCAAAAATGAATACAGTGAGAATTCTATTGTCATTGGCTGCCCACTTTAGGCGGCAACTCCTACAATATGATGTTAAGAATGCAGTTCTCCATGGTGATTTAGATGAAAAGATATACATGAATATCTCACCGAGATTTAGGGACACAAATAACAAGGTATGTAAGTTAAAAAAGGCCATTTATGGGTTAAAACAATCTCCTAGAGCATGGTTTAGGAGATTTGCAAAAGTCATGAAGGAGTCGGGATATAAACAAAGCCAAGGCGACCACACTCTCTTCATTAAACATTCGGCTGTAGGGGGAGTAACTGCACTTCTAGTCTATGTGGACAACATCATAGTGATTGGAAATGATGAGAGAGAGAAGTAAGAACTGAAACAAAAACTAGCAAAAGAATTTGAAATAAAGGAACTGGGAAAACTGAAATATTCCCTCAGTATTGAGGTGGTATATCCCCCGCAGGGGATCTTCATATCTCAGCAAAATTACGTAATTGATCTATTGACAGAAACAGGGATGATTTGGTGTAAACCAGTCATTATATCAATAGATCCAAACAATAAGTTGGGAGAAACTAAAGAAGAACCAACTATTGATAAAAGAATGTACCAAATGTTGATTGGAAAACTCATATACTTTACCCACACTTGGCATAACATAGCATACTCAGTGAGCGTGATAAGTCAATTCATGCACGATCCAAAGAGAACCTCATCTTCAAGCTGCTTACAAAGTACTGCATTACTTGAAAGGCAATCTAAGAAAAGGAATTTTGTTCAAGAAGAACAACATTTTTGCTCTATAAGCTTACACCGATGCTGACTATGCAGGTTTTCTAGTGGACAAAAGATCAACTACAGGATATTGTACTTTTCTTGAAGGTAATCTGGTAAGGTGGAGGAGCAAGAAACAGACTGCAGTGGCAAGATCATCCGCAGAATCAAAGTTCAGGGCTATTGCTCAGGGATTATGTAAGGTACTCTGATTGAAGATTATTCTACATGCTTTGAGAGTCAAATGAGAAGGACCTATGAAGTTCTATTGTAACAAGTCAGCTATCAATATTTCTCATAATCCTATATAACACGATAGGACAAAACATATTGAAATTGATAGACATTTCATTAAAGAAAAATTGGAGAAAAAGTTAGCGTATATGCCTTATGTTCTATTAGAACGTCAAGTAGCTAATGTTCTAAGAAATGGGCTAAATAGTTCGAACTTCCATAATCTTGTATTCAAGTTAGGAATGAAAGACATCTATTCCTCAACTTGAGGGGGAGTGTCAAGATATAGATATGCTGGCAAGATATTAGGAGGAGAATTAATTGGAAATCCCGTAAATTGAGGGATTAGGAGGTTAGGTTTCCTAATGAATTAGTGTCCTATTTAAGAATGAGTTAGTTTCCTATTTTTTCTCTTGTAACCTGCTATATAATACTATATATTATCAATTCAGAAATAAAGATATTTCTTTTTTTCTCATATTTCCTCACAAATGATACTGAGATAATGTTGTTTCTAGAAAGTGTGCTGTTATCTCCTTTTTTGGCTCCAATTGAAGGAAAAAATAAGCGATAGTCATGATGTGATACATAATGCTGTATTGCTTTCCTGCAGATGTGTTGTTCTTTTTAAAATTTCTACTATGTTATCCTATACTACATTATGAGGGTCTCAACCATGACGATCAATACAAGACCAAAAAGTTCAATCTAGATAGGATTATAGTTCGAACTGAGCTTCTATCAAGGCCGGTTAAGTAACAGTGAGATAACTCATTAGGATAAAAATGGAAAGCATACATGACGCTGCAAGTGCTGGCTTTTTGTCATTGGCAAAGGATGGTTGCGTGTTTGAATTGTCATGTTCTTGTTGCCAGTAGCAAGCCTAAGAATTGCTGCATTAATTATGTTGATATAGGTTGGAGCTGCATGCTGGCAAGAACTGTTATGCAGAACAGCATATCCTAAACTCCCATCATCGTTCTGATCATCCATCACGATTGCCCCATACCTACAAGGAATATAAAAGAAATAGAATCAAAAAACACTTCTGAGTTTTCTAGGGGTCTCAATGCTCACATCACATATATGACAGATGTAGGCTGTCACATCTAGATTGTTATGCATATGGATCAAGAAAAGAGCTGCAAAAGTAAGGAAGATGGGATCCAGGGATTAAGCCAAACACCTTGACTGGTACGATTCATTGAAGCTAGACATTAAAAATTCACTCATTGACAGTAAAGTGGGTCCAAGAGTTGGACCTGCTGCCTCAACTGCATCAGCTAGTGCTCTTTCTGAATCAGGAAATCTAAATGAGCTCTCTCTGAACCTCTGGATCCACCCTCCTTCAATATAGCCTGCCACCTGCAGAAATGATAGCCTTTAAACCCAAGAACTGCACTATTTTAACCTCACAAAAGATGTTTGATAGCGCAGATTATGTGCCTTCTAAGTTTACAACAACATATGCCACAACTAAAAAAGATAGTGTTTATATATAAACAATAATTAGCGAACCTCCTTTGCAATAGGCCAGGATAGATCAAAAGGAATTGGACCGCCACCACCACCACCACTTAACAGAGGATTAAAATGCAAAGTTGTGAATGTCACAGACAGCTGATCAGGGTGTGGCTTAAGCTTAAGAAAAAGAAGACCGAAAAACAAGAAAACTGCAGGAATTAGAAGTTGAAAAGCAATTGTTTTCTGATCTCTACGAGCTGATATTGCCCTCTTTATAAACAGTGCTTTACAATGTTGCCAAAGCATTGATCTTGACATGAGACAACAGCTGCAGCACTGCATACTTAAGAAGTTAATGAAATTAAAAACTGCACCAATGATCAAACCACAAGCTCTTCCCACTATAATAGATATTACTTCGACAAACTTTGTACAATTTCCAAGCAATTTAGAAAAGGAAATCCTTCTAGGAGATTGTCCATAGGAGGCTTCAGATAGCACAGAATCGGGTGAAATAATTGTTTCTCCCTGCTTAACACATTCAACTTCATCGCAGTCACATCCAGCAACTCTCAAGAATACCTCCTCTAGAGTTGTCACTGATATACCATAACTTTCAATCCCAAAATCATTTGAATCCCTAGTACCAATTTTTCCAGAGCTGCTAACTGATTCTGTCATGCAACTTTCAATTTCCCTAAACATGTCCTCAAAGCAAGATGAAGATGCCAGAGGAAGCTTGAAAGAAATCTCAGTTCCAACCTGGAAAGACAGATAAGAGTTATATTATGACTTCTCTTTTTATCTAAAACAAAAGATCATATTATGGCTTTCCCTGATTAATTCTTTATTGAAATAAAGATTTTTGTTTTTAATAGAAAACCACAATAAACAATTAACATCTCCACTATGGTAAATACCATTGAAATTTATTGTGTGGAAGTACAGATGCATGTTGGTGAATATTCAGTTTTCACACATTGCAGAATGCAATCAATCCAAAGAAACATATTTTTGACCAGTAAAAAGAAGACCCCTTAAGTTGTAAAGCAAATTAATACCTCACTCACGCAAGTTGCAGATGGAATATGGCGGTAAACAATATCAACAGCTGCCGAAGCAGTAGGTGCAGACTGAAAGAAATGTAAGAAAATAGGACCATCCAGTAGCACATCAGCACTTACTAAATTGAGGCAAAATGCTTATTCAAGGAAAAGCATACATAAAAAGCGATAGGAACAAACCTTAACCAAAGTGAGAGTGTATCCAACTCCATATTGATGCTTCAAGAAAATCGAGCTGTGAAAGAAAAGCGACAGAGTTAAGAATACAAAACTCACTCAGGATGTTCTTTACATGTCAAATGACAATTCTTTAGCTTGCTTGGGCAAATTTTCATATTGGAAAGAGAAAAGGAACACAGTGCAATGACAAGGAATCCTCCAAATAAAAGAGAAAACAAAAGTAGTACTTTTATTATAAAATAAGAGTAATACGATACTAACATTTCAGTCTACGATTCTAGACCTTGATTTCCTTTTTGCTTTTTATATTTTCTAAGTATTTAATTTGCTTCACCTTTTTTATCCTTCACCGTCTTCCTCCCTCCCCTTCACCCCTCCCTCAACTCAACGGAAATTGGCAAAGCACATAATAGTTCTAAATAAGAAAGAATAAACTAAGCTAAAGAAACAAATTTATTTCAAGAAAGCAATATTAGGTTCATAAACACATACTTATAACAGACAATCACTGCTCATATACAATCATCACTTTTAAAGTAAAAAGGTCTATTAAAAAATTAGAGAAATTATTGACAATTCTTAAGTGATCTTGGTCAACTTTTTAGTGTCAAAAGATTACCAGGTGGGGAAAAAAACTCATTCAAAAGGGGTTCTTCACTTGTGAGTTGGTAAGGGAATGTAGCTTATATATTGTTCATTTTGCAATATCCAAGATTTGGGTTGAGAAAGAACTTTGAAGAAAAATTTTCTGAGGAAAATCTTCATTTACTCAATGGCTATGTTAAAAGAAATCTCTTAATAATGAAGATGCAACTTTCTCTCAAACAAAAACATTACAAAAGAAACAAAGGCTGAATTAGGGCAACAGCTAAAATTAGGGGAAAAAAGGGATTAACCTTCCGCAGCACTTTAAAGAACCGTTAGCCATGATTGCTATTCGATCTCCTAGTTCATCGGCCTCATCCATCGAGTGTGTTGTTAATAGTATTATCCTGCCCTTTTTTATTTTTTTAATTAGCTGCCACGTCAGGCGCATTGAATATGGATCCATCCCACTAGTGGGTTCATCAAGAATAATCACCTGCAACAGAACAAGAATGATGCCACATGCTTCGGAAAGAGAAACTAAAAGAATAGGCCATCAAAGTTTTCAACCACCTTAAGACTACTGCTTCCTTCAGAGATGCTAATTTGGATGGCTTGGCAATGTATTTTAACAATAGATTAAGGGTAGATCTTGGTAAATAGATATTTCTTGTGTTTAATTGAGGCAGAGTCTCTTTGCCGTTTACTTCACTAGTGTAGCTGGGTGGAAATGGTTTCATATAGAAGAAAGTTTGGGCCCTTCTAATAGAAATGGAAAAAACTTTACCACTTCCTATTTTGTAGAAGTTTTGGAGAAAAAGAAACCTAAGAGCTTTTCAAGGAGAGGTTTCTTCTCAACAAAAAGTTAGGATTTTGTGAAGGAATATTTTCTCAAAGAAAGGGATCGTATAGACCTTACAAATGTTGAATTGTAAATCTATCTTTCATATACGAGTGGCACCAATTTGCTGCATTCTATAAAATACACTCATTTTTTTATTAAAAGAAGTTTTCTACGACCTTACTGCCTCCGATAAGTGCAATTCCAAGTGATAACTTCCTCTTCATCCCACCAGAAAGAGCCCTCACAACAGTGTTCACTTTATCAGCCAACCCAACCTAACAGTCACAGACACATAATCACCATCAATAAGTGCATACTGAAGATTAAAAATGCAAATAATAATAATAATAACAATAATAAAATAACCAAATTGAATGTGCCCTTGCCAGGGTAACCATGATAAATACAAGAACAGGTGCATTAAATACTTTCTTAAAAGAAGATTCAAGCATAATAGTTTAAAAAGATTATAAGCAAACATTTGTATATTCAATCACATACAAACTGGATAAGCTCTCTTTTCAATAGAAAAAGAAATGATACTAATTTTTCTTTTCAGTCCCAAACACAACTCTGTTCATTGGATGCAGAATTAGCATGAAAATTCTCAATTCTGAGTATAAGTCTTCCATATACAATATCTACCAGACAACAGTTACCATATATGCAATGACCATCAATGGAGTTTCTAGAATAGACATCATCTTGAATACATTGAATGGATACAAATTAATTGTGGTTGCATCGCAATATTCCATATGCATCCATAGAGACCAAAAACATGGTAAACACATCATATGCAATCAAGTAGATTATATGACGAATTGTAAATAAAAGTTTATTGGATTCCATGTCGAGTTAAAGCTGATTTACTCTAAAAGTAACTGTAAATTGCACATTTGACCATTCTGATGTGGTGGGAAATTTTTGAGGTTCTTTTTTGTTTTTGTTTTTTTTTTCTGCAATATCAAAAGGTGGTGGAACGTAAGGATAGAAGTAAAACTTTGATACCAACTGATATAGGACAAGTAATAGTAGAACTAATATTATCCTGCAAAGTAGAGAAATTGAGAAAAATATGAGGAAGAAAATAGGAGAACATAGGCCATAGGAAATGAGGGATAAAGGTGAATAAATATAGATAGAAGTATAATGAACGAGATAGATCAAAGAGAATAACAATCAGAAGAAAAGGAGAGATAATAGGTAATAAAATCCCATCGATGGAATTCTTAATTATCGTAGTCTTATACTTTTTGTTGGTAGTTACTAGTTTTCATATAGTTGTTGATTACAACAAATAAAGAAAATTATAAAAGACGAAAATCCACAAGATTATAATTGCTATACTATATAAAATCCAATTAAACACAGAAACTAAACTACTATAATACCTAAAAAGTCAAAATGGAGAAATCTAAAAGATGCTAATTCCTATAATATTTAAAATCTACCTAAAAAAGTAATTAAAATATTTTAATACCTGAAAAAAACTAAATAACCTAAAAATATAAGATTTCTTTCATAATTTTTTTTAATATAAGTGTGGAAATGTATTAATGTGTTTGTTCAATAAAAATTTTGTTCCAAATTAAGATCTTATTGTTCCGCATCAATAAGTTAATCTACTACTCTATCAAGATAAACAGCAAAACTTGAAAGAAACAATGAATAGAGTTTTGTAAAGCAACAGAAAATTAATCCAACCTGAGCCAAAACAATTGAAGCAATTATAGAAAACTTTAGAAAAAAGAAATAAACAGAAAAGAAAAAAAAAACACAAATACATCAGTTTCATGATCCTCTCCGCACCAGCAAGGGGAAAGACAGAGCAGGAGGTATGCACCTTGATCGAGATTCCCAGATAGTTTCCCTGAGCTGGTAAAACAATCTACTCTTTTCTAGAAGAGTGGAGAAAACCATGACTGGTCCGAAAATGCTACATCATGCCAATTTCTTTTCTGAGATATTCATCAAGCCAATTTCTATTAAGTGGCACTAAGTGTTTCATTTGTGTTTCATTAATTGTGAACAAATGCAACACTTTGTTTTTCCTCAAAACATCAATTTGTAATGGAAGGTAGATGATGTTATGTGGACGCTTCATACAAAAATTAGAGAATATATGCAACATGAAGAAAGACGTACTTCATCAACCATATCATTTACAGCACTTTCCAAACTGTCTTCCTTAACACCCTTCAAAATGGCATACATTTCCAAATGCTCTCTCACCTGGATTATTACAATATAAAATTTTTCATAAGATAAGAATAATAAAACAGTATTTGCAATTCAAGATATGCAAATACACCACATGATAAAAGAACAGCAGAAATAAAAAAGTAGGGAGCACATTTTAAGTTTAATTACTCCCTATAACTGGGTTGTTCTTTTGGTATACATGTTGGCACCCCCTTGATACTCTTTAATTTTAATTCTCTCTTTCCTCTAATATATAACATTTCATTACTATCTCAGAGATTTTCCTTTTTGTTAATGTTAGTAACTGTAACATTACTAAACTCAAGTTAAATTAGCAAACGTGGTAAGTCTTACAACCCTACGTGTGAGATAAGGTAATATCAATCCCATAGTTAATACCATCACATACATCTTTCGGGGCTCGGCAACAAAA